AAAGAGAGATTCCATGGGTTCCAAGTTTCTGGCCATTCCAAATACCGAAGGGCCAATGATAAGGAAACAGAACCTCTTGTTGAGATACCAGACGGGATTCTCTGGGTTCGATTTGGCGATCAGCAGTAGCTGTGGTTATAGCTGGGGATCCCACAGTAAACTGAGAATAGAAGGGAATGACCAGGTAGCCGGGCCCACTGGAACGCCGTTTGTTTTCAATATCACCTTTTCATCTAGTATTTGTATAAACACAGAGCAAAGTACACAAATCATAATGTACAAGTCTAACTTTTAAAAAGTTTTCATCACATAGATATATTAAGAAAAACCACCGGCATATAGTACAGCCATGTAATAGACCAAATCGATAAACAAGCATTTCCAGTTTCCTCCAAAAGCTCCCCTCCCCTACAGGTAACATTCTAAGCTAACTTCTCATAAATTAGTTTTGCATTTAAATAAAAACTTGTTCTTTTGTATCGGGATTTTGGAGTCCCACCGTTGTTTGTGGTCGCAGTCATCATCCTTTTCATGTGTGTAAAATTCTGTATAAACAGACACGATAAACTGTCCATACTATAATAGATGTTGGATTATACAGTTTCATGATTAAAATGTGCTGCCTGGCGACATTCTCAGTGCTTGTCTTTATGGTGAACATCTATGTACATTTTAGTTTGGTTGTACACCTAACACGAGGGATTGCTGGGATCGTAGTGTATGCATGTCATCTTTCACAGGATACTGCCAAGCAGATTTTCAAAGTCGGTTCATACCCAATTTATACGCTCCTAACGCATGTGCTGCGCATTTGGTAAGACAACAGTAGGTATTTTCCTCTCTTTAACCATAGTCCATCGGAACTCGGCTTTGGGCTCAGTCTTCGTCATGCAGCGTTTAAATTTGCATTTCCTGTGACAACATAACGGAGCCGCACCTCCTTTCTCGCTGTTTATAGCATTTTGGACAATAACATATAAAGCCTCTCTTCTAAAGGCCTGTTTGACTCTTAATTAAGTTCATTTTAAAAATTGATTTGTGTGCCTTTCCAAATCGTATATTTGTAGGAGTTCTTTATTTCACGTGTGGAGCCCTCTCAACGTCCCCGCCTCCCTCGTAGGTTGTTCCTGTAAGGCTCGGGGTTGTAGAGAGTCGGCCCATGCTCTTGGCTTCTCTCTTAACCAGGTGATTCCTACAGAACAACTCCAACCTCTTTTTTTTGGCTGTCACAGGCCTCCAATGCACATCCTCTGGTGCTGCTGCTGCTAGTGGGCGCTAATGCCACGTGCCACTGTGCACCCAGGCAGGCAGGGTCTCTGCACTTTACGTATTAACTCATTTAAATTGTGCCAGTTAACCTATGAAGTC